TTACAGAAGTGAAAAAAAGCCCTCATTTGGTAGGGCAGAGTTGCTGTGCAAGGTGCATTAGTACATTATTTCCAGCACTGATGCACAACATCTTTCTATGCCAACTAAAATTCTGGTTTCCTTTGTATGAACTTATTTTTACTGAAGCCTAATTTAGCAGTGGCCAGATAGTCATTTTTTCATAAAGTTTTAACAAAATTAATTTCCTAGAAGTGTATTTCTTTTTGTCCCAATCTAGCACGTACACAAATGTGAACCCTAGATCCAGAGACCATGCAGATAATAGTGTAACTTTACTCTTACCATGAAGGATGTTGGTTGCCCACATATATACACAAAGATGAGAGATGAAATGTTAAGACCAAGTCATACACCTGCTTCAAATAAATTTTGCATAGTATGACATACAATTTCTGGAAAAGAACACCATATAACTTCTGAGTGACATTTCCATTTCCTAAAGTAGAAAAAGGTTTTGAGCATATCTATTTTTACTTACTCTGCAACAATCAAAACTTAATGACGTTTTCACAGAAATCAAATATATTGTTTTGGCTCTGACTTCCTGGCAGTGATTTTTTTTTTTCCACAATAACATGACAATTTTGCATCAGAAAATGACTGGCATACATTATAATTTTGTGCTTCCCTAGAGAAGAAGAGGAAGGAGCTTTAAAAAAGAAACACTGAAATATTTATTACTTGTGTAGGTGCAACTCATCATGTCTGGAATAAAAAGTAAGACTGAACCTCCCAGTCAACACTCTCCATTTAGACAAGTCAAGAAATAACTAGTTCTTGAAGACTTCTATTTTAACAAGAAGCTAACTAATTTTTGCAGCTAAACTAAATTATAAATTTTTAATTACCTTAATACCCTTGAAATCTTATGGAGCTTAAATAATCTCTCAGTGGTGACATGTAGCTAGCTGGAAGGAAATTATCTTAAGCTATAAAATTCCTTTTCCTTCACTGAAGAGATTTTACTGTAAAAAGGGTTCTCAAAAGCATTTCTTCAATGAGATTGGAAACTTTTTTTTATCTACATGTTTGTCCTTTGAGTTTAGAATGACAATCTATCTACAGCCTATGTAAAGATGGTTTTCTTCTGTTATTTCTTTTATATTGCCTTAATTTTCTCAGACCTTTCACAAAGCAGAAGTGATTTTCTCTAGGTGTGCCTTGCCACTACAGAAATAAGTGTCTGCACTTCTGCACCGTTATCTGCATTGTTTAAATGTGACAGTGCAGAGCAAAGTATGTTTTGCGAACTTGGGTGGTACCACTTGCGACACAGTTTGTTCTGGGACACAACCAACTTCACTGATTACAAATATGCAAATGCCAGAGGCTGATTACAGATAAGGTCTTCCTCTCTTTTTCTCTGCTAGAGAGATGATTCTGAGGATGGCATCCAGGAGGAAATATGGCAGGTATAGGTTCACAACTCCTATAATAGGTCTGTGAATAACTATCAGACTTAAGCACAGTAGGGTGTGGAATGCAGCCTGAACTCCAGTTGCATGTGACTGAAGGTACCTTGAGAGGGCCGTCTTTGAAGAAAAACATTACCCTGCTTCTCTAGTGTTCTGCTATTTACAAAGCAGAATAATAAACAAAGATGCTTTATGTATTCCTCCTCTGTGGTTTCTTTCTGTCCTGTGAGAGGTGTTTTGCTAGTTACTAAATATATGGAGGGTGCCAGTATGGCTGTGTATCCTGCAGCTTGAGTAAATGTGCTCAGCCACCTGCTTTCCTGTAACTTCACAGGAGAAGGATGAGTTGTGAAAAATGACAACAGTTCCCTCTAAATACAGGAGGAAAAACAAAAACATTTTCTTAGTGGTATTGGGGACATCCTAAACAAAAAATTGGCTTAAAAGTAATGACCTGACTTGATTCTCCAGTTTCTTGAAATGCAGTGCATGAAGTAGAGGTTTGCACGCTGCATTTAAATGAAGGTCAGCTGCATAGTAAATCTCTACCTCCACCTGTGTCTTTTAAACAATACTTGTCTCATCTTTTGACATTCTTTTTAATGTTCTGTCTCCATTTTTCTCAGATGGGTTTGGAGTGGTTGCCAAAGTGCCGAATGGCAGCGTTATCTTGACTTTGCAAAGAATTCTTCTGAAATCTGTAACTGTAGCATTTATTCCCAGCCAGGAAGCACAATATTGGTATTTGACACAAATGCTGAAGGATGACAAGTGAGTGAAGTCCTTCATAAACAACTTTCTTCTGTTCTGATGTCTCACAGTGACCAGACAAACAGGGGTCTCATTCTCAGACAGTTCTTTCACATAACCCTTGAACTATCTATATTTTTGTGTATATTAGGAATTCATTGCTATTCAAAAAAACTATACAGAAATCTGTTTGCAAATAAGTTTGGAGTGCATTTTCCCTGGCTGCAGTCAAATGTGGACATTAGCCCCAATGGCTCATCTTTGCTGCTTTACCTAATCCTGGTATTTCACGTACCTCCACTGTTGGAAAAACATTGTAATGTCAGGTCAGTATCTTTTCTTTCCCAGAAAGCTTCTAGTCCTGACAGTTTATTTATTCAGTGCAAACAAAGCTCTAAAACAAGACAAAAGTAAACCTAACAGCTGGCCTAGTCTTAGTGTTTTTAATCTTAATATCTTTCTTTTGAGGCAGGCCTGATTTTTTTTTCTTTTTTTTTTTCCCCTCATGGACTGGATTTAACACATTGTTTTTACCATAGCATTTACTATAAAAATTTTTTTATATTTCCTCAGAAATGTAGGAAGAAATTGTTGTGAAGAAAACAAGCTATAGTCAGATTAATGAGAGAGCGAAACTGGAACACGGGTACAAGACAATCTAGCTTGTCAATTCCATTGTTGACAAGGAAATTTACAGTGGCTTTCAGACAGCTTGAGAAGGAAGAAACTCATAGGAGTGGCAAAAATATTGTTTTCTAGTCCAATCTGTGTGTTTTTTGACAGTCTTGTTTCATAAAAAGTGAAGAATTATTACACTTTTATTGAGGTATAATAGAGGCTTATGGTTACTGAGCTTAGTATTGGATTATAAAATTACACAACTTTCAGTATTTCTGCTATGTTCCAACTTGCTGTCTTGCACCACTGACAAAGCTCCTGCACAGGTAGTTTTCAGTAACTGCTGTATATTGCATACACATGCTTATAGCAACTGGATGTAAACATTGCAGTCAGCACTGCAGCAGCTTGCAATGCAGCAATGAGAGCCTCTGATTTTCTTCTTTTTCTGTAATAGGTTAGAAATCAAGTTGGTTTGAGAAGTTTTGGTAGAGTGCAATGCTGAGAATTGGGTAGAATAAGAAACACCAGGTGGGTTTATTAACTATTGCTTTCATGAAAATAATATGAGAGTTGTTTTCATTATTTAGATACCTTTCCAAATTGACATTAATGTTGCCTGTAACTGTAGGTAAGAATAAAGTTTGTTAGAGCTACTTCTTAAAAGGTATCACAATGATTTCTCCTTGTTACAGTTGGGAGAGCCATGCTGACTTCAATAGCCTTTGACTGTGAGTAAAGTAGTGAACTTGTTAGTCTTGATAAGTAACCATTAATAGATAAAAGAAATCAGAAATTTATTACTCTGCCAAAACTGACAATACGGAATCACTTTGGCCAATCTCAACTAATGCTTTAAGTTTTGTAAAAACCCCTTTGGCTGGAATGATGGAAGTCAGTTATATTCTATACGATGTAGCAATTCCAAAATACCTCATGCTTTACTGCAGACTGGCATTGGTAGCTGCTTTGCTATATGTGCTATTCTGCTTTACTCATCTCAGTTTTGCTTAATAAAAAACAAAACTATCCAGATATAAAGCATTATGTGTTTGGACTGTGCAGACAAGTTTACTGGGAGTCTGATGAACAGGAGGGCAGTAAAGCATTACATACAACATTTGTGGTATTGCATAAGGAAATGTATGAAGTTTAGAGCACTCCAAACCTACCATTAAAAGAACCAGTTATAAGGGCTGATAACTAAACATCAGCATATTTACTGACAAATAACTGGTGAACTGAAAAGCTCAGAGCATGTTAAAAACAGGAATTGGTGTTCAGAAGTGATTGTTGTAGGAAGCTAAGGCTTCGATGTTTTTGAATGGCTTTTGGATGGTGCTGCTTGATGGACAAGTGAGTCTGGTCATTACTCTACGAAAAGAGGCTGAGGGAGCTGGGCTTGTTCAGCCTGGAGAAGGCTGTGGCGTGAAGTCATTGCAGCTTTCCAGTACTAAAGGGAGCCTACAAACAGGAGTGGAGTCAACTCTTTGCAAGGCTAAATAATGGCAGGACAAGGGGAAATGGTTTTAAGTTGAGGGAGGGAAGATTTAGGATGGATATCGGGGGGAAAGTTCTTTACTGTGATAGTAGTGAGGTGCTGGAAGAGGCTGCTTGGAGAGGTTGTGGATGCTCTGTCCCTGGAGGTGTTCAAGGCCAGATTGGATGGGGCCCTGGGCAGCCTGGTCTAGTATTGGATATGGAGGTGGAGGTAGGGGAGTTGGAGCTTGATGATCCTTGAGATCCCTTCCAACTCAAGCCATTCTATGATTAATACAGAAGATTATGCTTGGTAACTGCCATGTGGCACTAATGAAGAAACACAAGTGATAAATTTAGTCATGATCTGTGTTCTTGATTTGGGATAAAACTACATGGATCAAATTCCTGGAAGATGTAGATTAGTGATGTTAATGGAAAAACTGTTGGCAGTGCTGATCAGCTACATCACTGTCATTATTACATAGTGAAACAGAGTGGTAGACCTTGATAGGAGCAGATAGTACAGATGCTGTTTATTTAGAAGATACCAACTCTGAAGTCTTTGTTCAGTCATTTGCCATGGATGTAGGTCTCCACAATTCATATTATTAGATGCATTTGAGCTAGATCTCATTTGAATCACTAACACGCATTCTTATTTTAACTAGTTACCTATAAAGGTATCTAGAATGAAAACAGTGAGTTTCTCTACACTTAAAATATAACTTTCTTTATTGTAGAGCTAGTAGAAAATCCAAGCAAAGGAAGATAAAATCCCCACCTAGCCCTCAGTTATTGGGTGTAGAAACTGTCCAGCATTAAACAGTTTATTGAGAGGCATTTTCCTATGTCATAAGTATTTCGCTAAGAAATGGCTGCACTGTTTTTCATTGGTTTATCCTCAAATGCTGGGTCTGTTACGAACTTTAATGGAGGCCCTGAGAGGTTACTTCCTGTTACAAAACCCCAAGCTGCATAGATAGAAAGCCCCAAAGGTATAATCGAGAACACTAAACAATTCATGTGTAGACTGGCTACACCAGTATCATTAAATACTTCATAAGATGAGGCAGCAACTTTGATCGTTGGCTATCTGTTGTCTTCTATGACAATGGTTCTTCTAGGATAGGAATCAACATCCACAAATATGTAACGGACATCAAATCTTCCTCTCTCGGGATTCTGTAATGAGGAAAAAATTTCAAGCAGTTTTTTTTTTCTCTTCGATAGTTTAAATCTAAGATTAGCCTTGTCAGCTATATCAAGCAATTGTGCATACCTCTTTGACTTCTACATGGACTGTTCCCTGCTTTCCTGGTTCAGAGCCCTCAATATAGAACTTCAAGCGCATATGTTTCAGTCCATCCTTCACGTATTCAATGTGACTAAAAATAGCAAAACAAATTAAAAAAAGCACAACCCAGCCAGCAAGGATAGGTATTCAAACTTGAAATTTCATCTTCCTATTTAGAGGAGCTGCTTCATTACTTTGTGAGGAAGTGCATTCTAATACAGCCCTTATGCCATCATGGGTTCTTTCTTGACTTGTCTTCCCAAGCTTTACTGTGGGCAATAAAGTGTAGTGGAAAGTCAGAAGAGAAAACTACTTAGCAGTTGATGGTTAACAGATGAAGTTCTTAAATGTTTTCACTGTAGTGCTCCCCTCAAAATTTGACAGCAATAAAACAGCTGAAGATTCTTGAATTTCTTTGGATTTGTTCTAAAGAACCCTCTGATTCAGAATCTGACATTTAGGAAATACTCAGATCACCAAGACTATCAGGGTTGGGGTGTATTTTTTTTGCTTTTTTTTTTTTTTTTTTAGGCACTTTCAGTTTTCCAAGCACGTCATCAACGCCTTGTCAACTTCAGGTTTGTTTAAACCGCACCAAGATAGTTTCCTATGTGCTTCACATTTTTTGGCAAAAAAAAAAATGTTCTATATAAGTTGTTAAATACACAGCAAAGATCTGGACTCAAGTGTCAGAAAGTAATACAAATAGTGGTTGCTTAGTGTTGCATGTCAGTTCAGGACAATGGTTTCTACAGTGACTACAGCCTCTGCACAGCGAGATGCAGCCTAGCTTTAAACTGTATAAGTTAGATTCCTAAAAGTCTCTCCTGTGCACAAATGTTATCTCATAAGAAGGAAAGCTCCACTTTTTCAAAGAACAACTATTTGAGGACTTCAGCCTATGGACTTCAATCTCACCTCTGCTCCCCAGACACGTCTGTGCCTCTACACTGCACTCTTCAGTTCATCTTGTTTTTTTTTTTTTTTTTTTTTATAGGGAGCTGCTCCATGTTTACCACACTGACCACTGCTTATTCTGAGGAACAAGAATTGGTATTTCATATTCTACGTGCACTGTGTTTAGGGGTGTGTGCCACACAAGACATACAGCAAAAAAAAAAAAACCCAAAGTAAAAACAAGGAACATGTCACACAGTTCAGTAGCCTAGCTGTAGCTTTCTATGAAGTGATCCAGAATGTCTGTTGTGTGCAAAAGCTTTAATCTGTATGGAGCAAACACCAAATGGCACCTGACAAACTGTCGTCTTCCTCTTCGTGTTGCCTCTCCATAACCTTTAATGGGTTCACCAAAAACACCAATTACCTACAAGACAAAAGAGGTCTGTGTTGTCAGAAGCTATCACATTCAGATGGATACTCTAGCATCAGCTCACATCCCTTCTATGAACACATCTTCTCTCAACAAAATGCCCCTTGAGAGCCAGATGAATGCAAGGGTTTATAAAAGAAAACAGTGCAGTGTAAATTATTTCAATGATTTCTTTACAATTGCTTATAAAATGTCTACAATAAATCCTAGCAATACATCCCATTTGTATCATCTATTGACATTAAGACATTTCATTCTCTTTTTTACTGTGTATTTTATACTTTCCTGACATTTTGTGTGAAAAGGAGAAAAAAGCATGAAATATTTGCTCATGTCTCTTCCAAGAGAATATTTTACTGTTTTAATCTTAAATGCAAATGAGATCCCCTTCATCTGATTTAAAAACTACTACTGCTTAAGAAATGCAAGCCTTTTTTTTTTTTTTTTTCCAGATCTATAAACCCAGACCAAATTATTCTATCTTTAAATACAATGTTTATTAGAAAGGAAGGGCAGTTTTATAAGCACTGGAGAGAAATTTAATTCTGCAAACTTGTTCTACAGTGGTATTTTTATTTTTCCTAGTAACAGCTTGTCACTTCAACTTTAGGTTAATCCCAATAGCCTATGTGGCAACTTCTTTGAAAGCTATTCTGTCTTGAGGCATATTTTAGAATCTAGTTTTGGACTGTTCTATTTTTTTTTATATCTACATATCTTGTGTAATTGATGCCTATTCCCTTTCTCCTTTCCTCTTAACCACAGCAACTTTAGCACTGTTTCAAATGAAGAGTTTAAATTTGTGGTTACAAATGCAGTGCTTCATACAACAGAATCCTACTGAAGTGTCACAGTAGAATAATCATGTTGAGGGAAAAAGTCATCAATCCAAATCTATAAATTGTAAGTGGAACCAGGTGCCTCTCTGATCAGCAAATCTGTGAATACCCTCTGTAAGCACATGCTCTGATGTGGCAGACACTGCAATTGCATCTGTTGTTGTGCTGCTGTACACTCCCTTGACTTTTGGCAGGTTTAATTCATTCAGGCTCGGTGCTTGTGTTAACTTCAGTTAGTGCAGGTCTGCATTTAGAGCTGACCCAACTCTGGCAGATCTTGTTGGCATTTACTAAGCACCAAGGCAATGTTCCTGCAGGTTTGCTTGTAAGATTCCTGGTGCAAATTTGTGATTTGGAGAGAGGCAGTGAGTTCTAAAACCCACCTCAGGATGAGATCTGCATTTCTCTAAGGCATTTCCGTAGATCTTACTTGGACTGGAAGAAGAGAATAGCTCTTTAAAAATCACATAGAACAAACCACCTGTAACAGAATCAAATACAAATGGAGTAAGAACTAATCTAACTAGATGGAATTTATGAAAAGTATTTTCTGATAAGGAATAAAATTTTTAAAATAACCTGTAACACCAATTCCAACAAGCACCACAATCAAGTAGGTAAAGTCTCTTCCAGCTTCTTTCACTGAAACAGACACAAAACAACATGAGAGTCAGCAGGATGGAAAGTAGAAGTGTGAATACTTTTATTACATGAAGACCCTTCTGTTAGTCTACAGTTCAAACAACACATTGGTAGAAATAAACATTCCAACCATGGCTTCCATCATGCCTCAGTACTAAAAGGTTCTCCAGGGCATGTTTATATCTCTAGGTTCAACCTCTTTTTTTTCCTGAATAATAAAAAGGAGAGTATTAGACCAAAGTGTATATTTCAATTATTGAGATCATCACCTGCAACTTACGATGCAATTTGATCTAATGTACAAGAGTTAGTATATATTGAAGAAAAAAGTCACGAGATGTCAGTTCTTTAAAAACTGAGGAGACTGCTGATTCGACAAAGTGTGCCTTTTAGCAAAGTGCAAATTACCAAGGGAACATTAGAAAACATTTTTCTTGCAATGTTCCTATCGGTTGAGGATATTTTCTGCAATTATTTTTCTAATTTAAAATTTCAGAGGCTGCGTAGTAACAACTTCCTGTTGAAATGAATGCAAAGAAAATGACAGCCGCCTATAAAGACATAAAGGTCAGACAGAGCATGCTGCCAATTTACTGGAAGTCAACTTGGTTTAACAGGACCAAAATGGACTGCATGCGAGGGCTTTTCTGGTTAAGAAGGGATCTGAGAAGTTACTAAAGTGATCCCTTGCATAGCTGTGACATAAGCAGTAAAATCAGCCAGCTGTTTTGAAGAAGTCACAACATTCCTGTTCTGCTTGTGCAATGTGTACACTGAAAAGTATGGCAGTGTGAAAGAAAGACCTGCTGGTGTTTTTAAAGTTGCGGTTTAAACAGTTTCCAAAGTGTTGGGTGCATACTGGGGCTCTAAAACTTCAACCGCAGCAGGGATGTCCTCCGTGTCAGGATCTTTAAACACACTGGCGCGGCACTCCGCCAGCGATCACAGGCCTTACCTCGCTCAACAGTGGACAGAAGGGTTTCTTCTTTCTGATCTGTCCGCACCGACACGTGCTTGTCGTCCCCGCCGGGTTTCCCGGCTCTCAGCCCCCCCGCCCGCGTGCAGATGGCAGCTCCCGGACGGAGCCCAGCGGGGCTCACAGCCCGCTGCCCGCCGCGGGGCTGCGGCCGCCACCTGACGCATGACCCCGCCAGCAGCCACCGCCCCAGCGGGGCCCGCAGCCGCCCGCAGCCCCGCACCAGGGAGGCGGGGAACATGCTGAGCCGGGACGCTCCGCGGCTGTTGCCTCCGCACCCCTTCTCCTGGGGCTCTGCTCCCCGTCGGGACGTACACACAGAGGCGGGGGAGGGAAGCGCTCCCGCCTCTCAGGAGCTCCCACTGCCCTTCGTTCGCCACCAGCTGCACCCCGCCATCATTGTTGCGGAAATCTCTCGGAGTGTGAGTCTTCACGGCCCCTGGGAGCTGTAGTTCAACTAACCTCCCTCCTACGCACGCCACAGGAGACGGCTGCCGGGAAGGAACTACAGCGCCCGCCATGCTCAGCGCCCTGCCCGCCCCGGGGCGGAGCCCGCCGCCCCGCCGCCGTGGTCTGCAGCCGTTTGGCAGCGTGCTGCTTGTGTGTCCGGCCTCCTGCGCTCTCTCTTTTCCCTGTTAGTGCCCTCGAGACAGGGAGCAGAGAATCTTGCGTTTGTGGGAGCGATGTATTTGGTATTTCAGCCAGTAAACAGAGTCACAGAATGGTTTGGATCGGAAGGGCTTTCAAAGCCCACCCAAATCCACCCCGTGCCGTGGGCAGGGCTGCCCTCCACCAGCTCAGCTGCCCAGGACCCCATCCAACCTGGCCTTGAGCACCTCCAGGATGGGGCACCACAGCTTCCCTGGGCACCATTGCCAGCGCCTCACCACACTCTGAGTAGAGTTTCTTCCTAACATGTAAGTCTCTGCTCTCTTACTGTAAAGCGATTCCCCCTTATCCTGTTACTATTAACCCTCGTAAAAAGCCAGTACCCTTTCTGCCTTTAAGCTCCTCTCAAGTATTGGAAAGCCACAATGAGGTCTCCCCAGAGCCTTCTCTTCTCCAAGTTAAACAAGCCGAACTCCCTCAGCTTTTCTTCATAGGAGATGCTCCAGCACTCTGATTGCAGCCCTCCTCTGGACCTGCCCAAACAGCTCTGCACTCTTCCTGTGCTGGAAGCCCCAGGCCTGGACTCAGTACTCCAGATGGGGCCTCATGATGGCAGAACAGAGGGGGATGATTCCCTCCCTCTTCCTGCTGCCAACCCTCTTTTGATGCAGCCCAGGATACAGTTGGTGCTCCAGGCTGCAAGCGCACACTGCTGGCTTATGTCCAGCTTTCTGTCCACCAGGACCCCCAAGTCCCACTCCACAGGACTGCTCTTACTGAGCTCTTCTCTCCATCTGTACACATATCTGGGATCGCCAAATTCCAGAATATCTAGAAAAATCTCCGCTCCTGCTTCCTAGGGAATGTATTGTTGATATAGGGCATGAGAATAATTTCTGGTGCAAATAGAAGTTTGTCAAGCTGTTCTATAAGACTGAGTTGACATGGTGGAAAGAAGGGAAGCCATTCAGAGGGACCTCAACAGACTTGAAAGGTGAGTCTGGGTGAACCTAATGAGGTTAAAGACAGCAAAGGACAAGGTTTTGCACTTGGGCTGGAAGAATCCCAGACATTTACACAGACTGGAAGGAGCAGTGCTTGAGAGCAGCCCTGCAGAGAAGGACCTGGGGGTCCTGGTGGATGAAAAACTTAACATGAGCCAGCAGTGTGCCCTTGCAGCTCAGAAAGCAAATGGTGTCCTGGGCTCTGTCAGAAGAGGGGTGGCCAGCAGGGACAGGGAGGTGATTGTCCCCCTCTACTCTGCTCTTGTGAGGCCCCATGTGGAGTACTGTATCCAGGTCTGGAGCTCCCTGTACAAGAAAGATAGGGAGGTGTTGGAGAGGGTCCAGAGGAGGGCCACAAAGATGATCAGGGGACTAGAGCACCTCCCCTACCAAGACAGGCTGAGGGAGCTGGGCTTGTTCAGCCTGGAGAAAAGAAGGCTGCGGGGTGACCTCATTGCAGCCCTCCAGTACCTAAAGGGAGCCTACAAACTTGAGGGAATCTACTCTTTTAAAGGGTATTTAATAGCAGGACAAGGGAAAATGATTTTAAGTTGAGGGAGGGAAAATTTATGTTGGATGTCAGGGGGAAGTTCTTTACTGTGAGAGTGGTGAGGTGCTGGAACAGGCTGCTTGGAGAGGTTGTGGATGCCCTGTCCCTGGAGGTGTTCAAGACCAGGTTGGATGAGGCCCTGGGAAGCCTTGTCTACTATTAAATGGGGAGGTTGGTGGCCCTGCCTGTGGCAGGGGGGTTGAAGCTTGATGATCCTTGAGGTCCCTTCCAACTTGGGCCATTCTGTGACTGAGTTCAAATATTTGTTCCGTCTGGAGGAGAGGAGGCTCAGAGGAGACCTTATTGCTCTCTGAAACTACGGGAAAGGAGGCTGTAGTAAGGTGCAGGTTGGCCTTGCACATAACAGTGATAGGATAAGAGCAAATGGCTTCAAGTTGTGCCAGGGGATGTTCAGGTTAGATGTTAGGAAGAAATCCTTCTCATAAGGAGCAGTGCTGCAATGGCACAGGCTGCCCAGGGAGGTGGTGGATGCCCCATCCATGGAGGTGTTGAGAACCTTGTGGATGTGGCACTGAAGGATGTGGTCAGTTGGGATGGGCTGACGCTTGGACTAGACAGTCTTAGAGTATTTTCCATGATGATGATTATGTGATTCTATGACTTCAGAGCCCATTTTCCTGCTCTGTGAAGCATCTGTAAGAGGCACTGCAACAACAGTGTTTAATAACCCCAGCGCATTTGCCGTGCCAGTACATACTGGACCCACAGAGAGCCTGGCGTTACGCTTTCCTTCAGACCTCATTTTGGGCGCTCAGATCGCCGCGGTCGACACAGCGCAGTGTCCCGAGCCTGCGAGCTCTCGTTGCCATTCAAAACCAACTCTGCACGAGGTGTAGCCGCTGGCAGCTCCGCCCTACCCCGCCTTGGAGCGCGGCGCTCCCCACGCCGCACCGCGCAAACCGGCTGCCATGGCGGTAGCCCGCGGCTCGGCCCTGCTGCAATGCGGCCGCGGAGCGGCCCCTGCTCCAGCCGGGCTTGGGCGGCTGTGTTCCTTTACCTCGGTTGCCGTCTCTCGGTCCGGCCGGGCCGCCGTGCTCAGGTAATGGCCTCCCTGCTCGGTCTGAGAAGAGGCCGCCGAGGGTTGTCTGTTCCCCAGGGCTGCCCCTGGCACTTCTCCAATCGTCTGCGGCGGCGTGGGTCGTTGTCCTTTCCGTTGTTTCCCCTGGGAAACACGGTCTGTGAGATGCTTAGGGGGCTTTGTGGCAGATGTGCGCGTTGGAGGTCATGTAACAGATGGGAGGATTTCTCTGTGGAGTTTGTACTGAAGCCTACGGCACCAAGTTCAGAAGCAGGGTTGAGAAGACACATTTCTACTAATGCTGTTGTGTAGTTCATTCCTCCCCTGTAGTTCATGTTGCTGGTTCATTCCTCCCCATTTTAACCTGTAAACAGAAGGGCCAGTCTTTCAAGAAGCCTTTGGAGTTGTTAGCTGAGGAGCAAAGCAGAAGTCAGAGTGTTGCTGTCATTGGTGTTTATCTACACCTATACTGCTACATTTGGAGAAGGAGACAGGTGCTGTCACTACTCTCAGCTTCCTCTGTGTTTTCTGAAGTAGGATTGTTCCCTGGCCAGCTGCAAAACAATAAAGGGCAACGTTCACATTGCAAATACTACAGGGTATACAAGTGAAAATACTGATACAAAACTGAGTTCTACAAATTGAAAGCTAGTGGAACAGCAGTTGAGGTTGTTGTGCCTCTAGGGTAGAGCCTCTCCGTTGGCAGAGAGGGAATTCAGCTGCTGTTGAACAGAATTTGGCTCTCAGTCCTTTTAATGGCTCTTGAATTGTGCAGTTTGTTACAAACTGATTCACAGTGGTACTTAATCTTATTTTTGAAATGTACTTGATAATAATAACGCACATCCGTGGAACATTTACTTGACCTTCAGGGTGTATTTGACATCTAGTTACTTTTTTGTTGCTATTAACGTTGCTAATCTGTTAGAGTTTGGCATCCAAACTGAAATATGTATGTTTTTGTGTAGTATTTCTAACAATTCCATCCAAAAATATGCAAGTAATTTGAAGATATTCTGATTGTGACTTACGAAGTTCATTATTCCAGAAAACTAGGAAAAATGAGTTGCCAGTTTGTTTGTAAGGTTTTGTGTTAGACATATGCAAAATTGCTTTTTTTTTTTTAATTAAAAGAAGTAATTTCTGTCCAAATTAATTTGTATTACTGAGCAATAAAAACACTAGTACCTTCTGTTGAACTATCGCCTGCAGTGTTGCTTGTATTTTAATAGGTGAAAACCTGCAATGAGAGTGTAGCTTTGTTTCAAATATGGTTCTGTTTTACAGTCAAGGGAACTCTTTTTGAGCCTTGACAACTGTTGAGAAAATCTCTAAGTATTGTTCTATTTGTTATTTTAGTATGGTTCAGATTTTCTGTATGGTTCAGAAATGTCTGTAGAATAATGCTGCAAACCAGAAGATTAATGCAGTGAGTTTGACTTAGTGTAGGGGCCTGTTTGGAGCTTGATTCTGGTGCCAACAGTGATGTGGCTGTCTAATAGATAGGAACACGCCATCAAATGCAATTTGGTTCGGTGGAGATCTGACTGCTATGAGAGATTAATCACAGGAGAGAGTCCTGAGTTTGAATCTGCCGTCTTCCTGATGTTAGGCATTTTAACTTGGTGATAATTGTTCAGATTATTTGATAATAATGAGTTACCGTGTATTCCGTTTTACCTCAGCTGAGATGTGTGTGCCCAATATGCGTATTTCTTCATTGCATAATGATGTGACTAAGAGCTTTTATTTTATAGGAATATGTCACAGAGCTTTGCTGCTGGATCTAGGAAATATTCTGAAACTGTAAATGTCGACAGTCTGTGTTGGACACCTCCCATAAACTCAAAACATAGTGTGTGCATTGAAAAGTAAGTATATCTTCAGTTTAAGAGAGGTAGAGTGCTTGCAGGCTATAAACGATCTTAAATTTATTAAGTTTGTGCATTGGACATGTCAGATGTTCAGAGTTGAAGAGATTTGCTTTCCCGACCTTCTGTGCTAACATTCTGATATTCTACTCCATATCCCTAAGTTCCCATGAAGTATGTAGGTCTTCTAAATGATATCAAGCCACGTTTTCCAAGTCATACAAAGCCTGTAGTAAATCCTTTGCAAATCAGGGAATGTGATGATCCTTAAAAATAAAACAGTGTTACTGTGTTACATAAAGAAAAGCCAACTTGGAGTAAAACTTTTGATGTTGTTTTTGATGCTTACTGGTTTTTGTAGGGAGCCAAAATGGTGGAGTGAGGGGAAGGAAAATAGCTGCTGCAGTTGTGCTCCAAAGTAAATGCTTCTCTCCTTACTCGACACTGAAAGAGCACTTATTAATTATTTTGTTTTTGAAAATCTTTCAAGTTTCTACAAAAATACCTAAGAATATTTTTCATAAAAGAATGTTTCTTTGTTCCTTTGTTTCATGTATTTTTCAGCCTTCTGTGTTAGCCTTTCTTCTGTTTTTCATTGTATAACCAGTTCAATCCCTTGAACAGTGTTATTAGTTTGATATGAAAGGTGAGGAAAAAAGCTTCCTTCAAAGGAAAAATAATGTGGGTGTAGAAACCACTGTTAAGAACTCTAGATCAAACATATTACTTTAAACAATTTGTAGCTTTTCAAGAGATCATTCCTAAGTTTTCTCTGGAATAAATGCATTAGCTGTTTTGAATTGACACGGTTTGAATCCTGTTACTTAAATAACCATGCAAGTTTTGTCATGCTTGCTTCTCTTTCAGTACAACTAAATTTTTTAGTTTTAATACGCACTGTGGAGTACTGGCATTATACTTATATGTTTGAAATCTGCATATATACATATATATATGGAATAAAGTGTTATAAATCAGCAGGTGTTTTAAATGATACAACTGGAAAAAAAAAAAAAAAAAAAGAGACATGGCTGAAGTTTTTATTCCACAGGATTTTTTTTGTTTGTTTGTTCGTTTTTTTTTTTTTTTTGGTGGTTTTGATATTCTCATACTGCCATGCTCTAAAAAGTAAGAGTATAAAATACTATTTAAAATTTATTTAATAAACTCTGTGCTGTTACCAGATACTACGGTAAGGGTTCAGGGTTTCTGTCTGTTAAAGTAAAAAATCATAGTGTCCTATCTCCAGGCTGTGTTCATTTGTACTTAGACTGCAGAAAAACCAGTGCATGTGGAATTTTGCAGCTGGCACCTGCAGTTCAGCAAGCTGCCTGACGGAAAACTAATGTTTTTATGCTTTTGCACAACTCTTATTTTGAAGTTCACATCTTTTTGTTAGCATAAATTAGAGTTGTGTGAGGCTTCTGAGCACACATGATTTGAATATTTTGATGAGATATAGCATGATCCCACCATTGGACTGGGACATTTCTATGCAGGTGCATCCTACCAGCACAGTCAGGATGGGTGGGTATACACAGTTGTGGTGGATGTTCATGGATTAAATTGTAAAATCACTGTTAGAAGTGAGAAACTGAATGAGGTAGTTTTGTGTCAAACTGGGTTAAAGTTCAATGAAGACGCAAACCCAAAACTTCATGCAATGTCTTATACCACTTTATTAGGTTGTTAGAAACTGTTGAAAGTGAATATGTTAGATCAAAGATGAATTGGAACCCAAACTCTGCATATTAATTCTTGAGGTGAGGCTTGGTCTTGGGGCTCAAGATGGAGTTTTGTTCCCCTTTTACTCCAGTTTAGTGTTAAAGTTCTTTGCTATTTCCATTTCTGGTACTTGCAGACAAATCTAACCGGGTTTGTTTCTTCTGTTTTCCAGCATACCATCAGAAATACTGATAAAGGTATTTTCCTATTTGGATGCTGTATCCCTGCTGCACGTTGCTTGTGTGAATAAGCGCTTCTATCAGCTGGCCAGTGATAAGTAAGGAAAGTGTGCTAGTCTCACTTGTACATTAGTTGAGTTTACCTGAGTTACTAGTCTTTCTAATCTAGTTTCACTGATGCCAGAGCACTGATGAATGGAACCCACTGGCAATTACTCTGCTGAAAGTGTATTGCATCGCTCACAGTACAATATGTTGTATGGAATTTTAGCTATGCGTGCCCTATTAACTTTAGTGGGAATTATCAGGCAAAACCTAAATATGATGCTTTGAAATGTTATTTTTTTTGTAAAATTTGCATTTATTTCTGTTTGTATTCATAAGCACCTGCACTGGGTCGTTAGCTCAGGCAGTCCTTAGTGGAGTATAGACAGTAGCTTTGTGGAATTAAGCTTTTATAACTGTACAAGTCCAACTTCTTTAGCTCTTTTTTTTGGTCTGTTTGCAGAGGATTTGGCTTAGTCAAGTGATTGACTGGTGGCCTTTATCTGTTGCTGTCTATCCAATTTTGGTGACTTTTAAATGAAAGGCCAGACATAAGTATTGGTGACTGTCTTGTTATTGTTTATACTAAGCTAATTTCAACATGACTTTATGAAGGGATCAAGAGCTTTTGTTTGTACAGGTAAATAGAATACCTAGGAATCATTTTTTTCCCCAGGATTCTGCTGCATTAGTATTATTTAAATGAGAAACATCTCTTCCTATACAGTAAGTTGCTACAGCTAATAGTCATCTGTATTTCACTTATTTGCCAAAATTTGGTCAGTTAACCTTTAGAACTTATGAATTTCAAGTGAAGGTCGTAATCCAGATTTACTTTTTTTGAGGCAGTCAGCATGTGCATACATGTAAAAATTGTATAGTTAACACAAGTAATGTATCTTAATGTGCTTTTTCAACTTCAGAGTAGTAAAACAGGATTAAACTGTTATAATTTGTCTGTTTCCATCTCAGCATTTCCATTTTCTAATCTCAGCAGTGATTGCTATATGGATGAAAATACGATTTGAGGATAAGTTGCTTTTCTTTATTGAGGAGACCGTCTGGTTCAGTAAGACTGGGTCACTTCTTTCTGTTGGATTTCTATGGGCCTTCCTGAGTCCCTGAATCTTTTGGTGCATTAAGAGAAATTTCAACTGTGACGAATCTGGTCTTTTCTTGGGCAGAGTATCTTCTTGAGAATAGCTTTGCTGTCCTGGATGTACTTACTGTTAAGCAGGTTCAATGGCTCTTGACACAGCTGAGCTATCAGTCTTTCAGTATGGTGCATCTGTGATGCCCAGTGCTGTGTTTTGTTTTTGGGCTCTTCACATAACGTCTCCATTCCTTGGAATCGAAGTCTTCAATATAACTGTTGAAGCCAGGGAAATGTTTCTGTCCCCTCTTTCTGCCCTACCTCCAAGCTCAACATGTAGTAGTTCTCTTTCCTTTCTGTCATGTGATATTTGATCATTGGTAGAAGGTAACTGTATAACGTGATCTAAGAAGATAGAGCACCAGAAGATCTTTCAGATTTGCCTAGACCATTTTGCCAGTGTGGCCAAGTGATGAATGACAGCATGTGTCTGATTCTGGCGCTTGAGTTAGCATGAAGAGATTGAGTTGGTTTATTGTGATAGTGTCGGATCAGAGATCTTGAGGTGAATACTGTACTTAACACCATGAGGCAAAAGCCACATGTAATCTGCTGTCAGAGGCAAATTCATGCTTCCTTGTTGGATATCTTTAGGATTTCTGAGACTGATGGGTAGATAGTTCCTGGGGTCATCCTTTTTGCCTTTCTTAAGAATGGTTATAATGTTGCCTTTTTTTTTCAGTTGCCAGAGACTTCATCTAACTGCTATGACTTTTTCAAGTATGGTTGAGAGTGTCTTGCTGACTACATCAGCCAATTCCCTCTGATCTCTGGGATACATGTCCTCCGGAGCCAAAGACATGTGGATGTTAAAGTTCCTCAGGTGATCACGAACCTGATCTTTGTTCACAACAGGAGGGATGTTGCTTCCCCAACCCCCTCCTTCCAAATCTCTCATTCGAGGGCTGTGTGACAGGCAGTTATCAGAGAAGATCAAGGCAAAAAATTTGATTACCTCAGCCTTCTTGTCTTGTCATTTTTGGTTTTCAATACTGAAATCTTTTTTTTTAATGAGATTGTTCTCAGTAGTGCTTTTTCTCTCCCTGACCTGGCTGTTAACCTTCTTTTACCATTCACAGAAGCTTATGTTGAGAAGCTGTGAGGTCTATGCGAAATTCCTGAATATTTCTTCATCAATAACAGAGTCTGATTAAAGGCATGTTGAGGCTTATTCTCAGCTAGGAAAATTGGAAGGGTTTTCTTGGGTTGGAGGTAGAGGAATACATTCAGTCCTTGAATGCTTTAATAATTCCTGAAGGAGGGAGAAGTGCATTGCAAAGCACATTAGAGTAAGTTTGTCCTGAGGTTAAGTGAGATTTGGCAAAGGTAATGTTGCAGATAAATCACTGAGAATTTCTCTCTTGAGAATTTGATTTCTGCTGTTAGTTTTCTTTAGCAGTTATGTAGACTTTGTGAGTTCAGAATTAGCAGTCTAATTGGCAACAGTAATTTGCAGATTATTGTTTGAGTTCATCTAACATCTTGTACTCAGTATCTCTGTACTACCCTAGAGATAATTGAGAGGTGGGAGAGAAATAAATCCTCTTGCCTTTCCTAACAGAAAAGAGGTGAATCTGTCATTCCTCTTGGGTAATTCTTTGATCTTGGTATCCAGAACTCTTGGGAAAAAAAAATGCAGACGGGTTTGACTTGTCATTGGTATTTCCATCATATATAAGTGAAAAGCTTTGAGCAGTCTGGATTGTATTTCTTCAGTAACTTTTTTTCACTGGTTGTTTTTCTTTGAGGAGAATGCATCATTGTTTGGGGGTGGAATTTTCAAAAGCAACTACTTAAACTTATACAGTTTTCATTTAAGTCATGGTATGCCTATGTTGTCTTTGGATTCTACCTTCTCAGGAAGACAGACAAGACTTTTTTCTTTCATTCCTGTTGATAACTTTTTCTCAAATCTGAACGTATTATTTTTTTTTTAATATCTGCTCAGTGACTGTAAAGGAAGAAAAAAGCAGTATAAAGCAAAGGAAGACTTAAAAATCGCTTATCTATTGTGTTATTGAAAAGGCAAAGCACAGTGGAAAGTTCCCAAGATAAAAAGATTCTACTTTTTAGACCACTATCCTAATGTTTTCTTTTAATGTATTTGTGATATTTATCAACCTTGCTGGCAAATTTTATGAATGTATTGGGTAACTTTTTTTTTTTTTTTTGCTGTGGAAGAGCAGGAAGTTCTAAGTAGATCTCACTTATACTGCAGAAGAAAAAGTATATTCAAAGAGTCTGTATCCTCTGAGATGGCCTCATAAGCTCGTAAGGCATGCTGACTGACATCTACCATCTTTTAGCATTGAGGTTTACACTTGATATGAGCTATTCAGAGATCATCATATGGAAAACTGTAAAACCTGTGCCTTTGCAATGACCAGTATATGGGAGGCTACACATTCATGTCCTCTTTAAACTTAGATTTAGATTAAGCCCGATTTGCTGATACTCTGGGACTTCATATTTTCTACCAACATTATGCTCAGTGATAACCGAGATCTGCCTGTGTAAATGGACTTTCTATTGTATTGCTAAAGTGACTTGATGGTTACTGCTTATAATTAAGTAACTTCCTCTGTGTTCTTTTTTTTCCAGTGGAATCTGGCTGAAAATCTATTTCAGTTGTTTTCCAGCAAAACAGAGAATCTGGAAAAATGAGTTTTTACGGATGGAAACTGTTCCTTCGAGCTGTGCTGTTGTAGAGGATAGAAAGCCTGGATACTGGAAGAAAGAATACATCCTGAAACAAATAGCTGCTGTCAAAACTAGAGTAATGCAACTTGTTAAACCTGTAGATCCATGTACAGGTCTTCCATGTAAAAACCAAAATGCTATAAAGTAAGCAATGCCTTGTCACAAAAGACGTTTACTCAAGAAAAATGTACAGAATGTTAATGGCTTTGCAAAGCTGAGGAAATGTGAAAATAGATCTATAAAATGCACGTTGTGTTGTGAAGGTACAACTATAGCCTATGAATGACTTAAATGAATAGCAATTAATTCAAATTTAGAAATATTATTGTAAGCATAGTTACTTTGAGAACCTTTGTGAATGTTTTGTTTGTTTTTCTAAACACTCCTGTTCTTTCTCAATCCCTGAATAACAGAGCCTCTGGCTTGAGTTGGATAATTGTTCTAAAGGACAAAAATGGAAAGGAACACGTAGTGGAGAAGGCACACCTATCATTTAAGCACACGTCTGTTAGTATATTTTGGTATGGTACAGGTTGGCCATGCTTAGACGTTCTGTCAGCTCTAAAATTATTTGGAGTTATACCACTGCTTCCTGGCCAAAGCGCAGCTTCCAGCAAGAATGGGTGAGTTTTAGCATAGGATTTTTGACATTTTTATTGTTGTTACTTGTTGATAATGATGCTGTAGGAGCGATCCTAATTTGTTTCTTTCCTAGAAAGTCTATCTGTATTATGTCTGTAATCTTGTTACTATATTCTGTGCGTTCTTATCACAGTCCTCGTCGGCGTTCCTTAATTGCTGAGTATTCTCTCTCTCACCTGACTGAAAGCAGTGTAGCAGTTGGGTCTGATAACCTTGTCCAACTCTTCAGTTTGAATCCAGGACTTGTTGTAGGACTGTGGAAGGTAAGGAAACATTTTGCTTTTTAGTTTTATTGCATCTTTTCTGTTTATTTATTTATTTACTTACTTTGGATTTTAGAGCTCTTGTGTAAACTAAAAGCAGGAAAAAAACAGGTAGAAACAATCATTTGATCATTTACTGTACTCTAAAAAGCAGTCACAAGTGTATCTGTACTTCCCAAACAAAAAAGCCTCTAAGTTAAGAACTGTTTTATATCGATGTATTAGATACTGTAAAGACATTATTTCTGTGTTCAGTTGTATTTATTTTGCAGTCATTGTATGTCAATTTTTGATTACTCAAAGACATTTTAAATAGCAGAGTTTTGAGGATGACAGTGCTTTGCAGCCCCTGTACTCACTACTTGACCTGTTCCTTTCTATTTAAAGCAATAGATTCCTACAAAGCACCTTGGAAGCCAATTGCTTCCCTTGGTCTACATCACCAAGTAATTGTATCCTATTCTTAGCAGTGGTAAGGCTGTAAGTAGTGCTCTTGTGGGGATGCTCTGTGATATTCAGTGTCTAACTAAAGTATCTACATTAAGGGGTTAGTCTCCGTGAGCTGTACGTAGAGATGAACATCTTTTAGAGAGTAGGGTAAAACTTGTAAAGCAGATATCTGCTTAGAAGGAATCTGCATCTTCGCACTGGATAGATATGTTGGGACCCAGATGTCTTCCTGAAGTGGTTTAAAGCAAGATTCTGTGAAAGTCTGGTTCAAACATTCTGCTCTTGGTTTGAGTTCAGGGGCGGCAGCCATTCCTTGTTACCCCTGCCATGGCTATGAGGTAGATTTAATTATACTCTTTAGCACTGGCAAGGAGCTTTGCTCAGGGAGGCTATGAACAGTAACTCAGAACTATTTTTATTTTCAGCTGGGAACTCTTGCTATCTCAAATACACACAATTACCAGAGAGGTACTGTTTAAAACCACAGAAAGAATGCTTCACTATTACTTAAAGGAGTCAGTTTCCTAGAAATCTTGGGACTGGGTGACATCTGTAAGCCTGATACTGACTTTGTCAATCTTTGAAAAGCTCAAATAACTAAACAACAATTTCCTTTGATATTCAGATGTTATTTAGTAGATTGGTGTCCCTGTGTTGTTGTCCCTACGGTTGTGTTGATACGTTAGCTCTTCCTGTGCTTGGAAGAAGAACTTCAGCACCTGGAAATGGTTTAGATATAAGTTCCACAAATGTGTTAACGATTGATTGTCACGTTCTAATACATTTTTCCTGCTTAATCTTTGAGCAGCTGCTCTTGCTTGCTATGTGGGCAGAGTAACCATAGACAGTTAGTTGTAGATTAATGTAATAGTCATAGGTGCCCGACATCTTGGTTTTTAGACATAGCTTGGCAACAGAACAGAAATGGTTGATGCTAGTTGTCTTGACTACCAAAAACAGGTTATGTGGGCTTTCTGGTATTTGGAAAGAGGAAGATGGGGAGATGCCGTGACTAATGAATCTATCTCATTATATCTTCTATAGTTTTAATTTTACACTACAGAAGTATGGGTATAGCTAAAAAAATTTGTGATTGGGGATGTAATTTTCTATTTGGTGACCCAGAGAGATGAAAACAACAGTGGACTGCTTTGTAGGAGTATAATAGAATGCTGACAGTGAACACTTTTACCACTGATGTGTATGCAAATATGTTACTTAAAAATGCATTTTTCTTAACAAAGTGAGAGGTAGAATCTTTGTATTCTCTAATTCTGCAAGTAAAATATATATCTTTGACTCTGTTTAGTTCTCAACACAAGCTTTAATTTTTCTTTGAGCTATTCAGGCCTATAGAATGTATGTCTTACCGTTTTTCCAGTAGTATACAATCTAGTGAAGACATCTAGGGTTTTACTTTGAAATTCAGTTTTTCTTTTGAATAGCTCCATAAACACTGATGTTTACCCTCTTTGCAAATAGTTCCTTATGGATGTAAAGCTTGATGCTTAGGTATTCAGTAGCTGAGAGTAAGGTCTATTTAATTCTTCTTAGGTATCCTCTTTGAAGTGGTAAGTAGGTGCTAGAGAGGTAAGATTCACGAATTGTTGATGCTAAGTTTTGCCTTGGCATAGCTAGTTTCCTTGCTTTTCCCCATGAAGCAGGAGTGCAGTGATCTTTTACATACATTCTGTACTCTTATGAAAAGAGTAGCAGTTAAAGGAGTATTTGTTCATGTGTTAAATGGTGCCATTATTACAATAACAGGCAGGGTAATAAGCAGCAGCATTTATCAATGAATTTTAATGCTCAGGAAGACCTTGTAAAAAAGAGTATTTCCAGATGAAAATGCACCTACTTTAATTATCTTTGCAGGAAAGTAATGAAATTGCTTTTGTTATGGTGAGTCTTCATTATCATCAACTTCTTGAGAGAAGTGCTTTGGGTTCTGCAACAGTGTAAGTTTGTTTTTTTTGTTTTCTTTTTCCCCTTCTTTGTGGGCAATAAAGATAACCTTATGAGTAAAACTTTTAGTTTTCCAATTAGAATTGGTTGGTGATAAGAGTTTGTATTTAGGCATTAATTGACCATTCTTGTTCAATAGAAACAAGTTAGGGTAACTATATACAAAGGTACAGAAGTATTTTTCTACTGAAATGTTGCCATTGTTATGCTGTTAAGGAGATAATTCAATCATACAAGTACTTGCTATTTTGAAAAAGTTAGAATTATTCTCTTTCTCCAAATTCTTTCTCCCTTTTCACATGCAGGCCTTTCATTTCCTCCTCTCAGAAGGAGACCTAAAAGAAGACATTTTAGGGTGTGGGAAAATAATTTTAAAGTATAGTATAGTATATTGGTAAGGTGCCTTTCAGTCTGGTCGTAAAGGTGACTGAATTTCCTATGAAGTGTTTTCTTCCTGTGTAAATAATATCTAGAAATGGTTTGAAATGGTAAGAACATTTTTAGCTGTAGCAGATTATTTTAGAGATTTGTTCTTCCCTCCTCCCACCTGCTCAACTTGTGGCTCAGACAGAGTTGTACATGCTAGTGGTAGTCTTGCATGCCTGCTATAACTTGGTATGACTTTTTTTTTTTTTTTTTCATTTAAGGTAAGACTTAATATGATCTCTCTGAACAGCGAAAGGACACTATGTAGGATTTGCTCTGGAATTTGGGCTCTACTGATCATTTGTGTGCAATAGTTTAGTAGTCACAGACAATAACTGATATTCTGGAGAAGTCTATCTCTCACTAGCTTTTAGATTTGTAACTAAAACGATGCATTTTGCTTCTTATGTGAACAAGTCTGTATTTAGGAGTGTTACAGATGTCTCTTTTAAAGTCGACTCTTGTATTTTCTGCCTTTGGCTAGACTGGACAGTTTACTAATAAGCTGTTAGAGAAACATGATGAACTGGAGATGTTTGACTTTCAAAAGTATTGCCAAAAAAAAAAAGCGAATAGGGTATCTTCCAAATTTTTTTTTTCTCATAACTTCTCCAAAATGATCCTCTCAGTGTAGGCTATATATTGTATCTCTTTGTATTAAATTCTTCCCTGTTGCTTCACTCAGTTGCTTTTTTTTTTTTTTTTTTTTGACTTAAAAGTCAGTACGTTCTTCAACCTGATAAACCTGTGCTGGATGATATTGACCCGGAATATGGACTGCATGACTACGACCTACATCTTGATATGCACGGTGGAAAGCATACTTACATGTGTGGAACATTCAGGAGTCTCTTCTGCAGAAAAGGTTGAATTCGCAGAACAGTAATGTCTGTTTATAAAATTATCTCTACTGCTATGTTTTCCCTCTTATATTCAGTTTACCTCTGGTGAGGGAAGAAACTGATATTAATTTTTAGAGCGAACTGTAATTTTTTGTTGCAAATATAAAGAAATAATGCATGGTGTTTCATAAGGTTTTGTAAGCTTGCTCTGTGTGAAGTCTGTCTGCTATTACATTAACACATGTTGGGCCTGAGCTGTACGTTCTGTAGATGATCAGGATGCTTTCATTTGGTTCAGTGCAGTGGCACAGCTTTTTGCTCAGGTTGATGTTCTTGCCTACTCTTATAATATAAGGGACCTACTTGTGCAACCTGGTGTAGGGAACCTGCTTTGGCAGCGGGGTTGGACTCGATCTCTGGAGCGCCCCTATGATTCTGTGATTCTGTGACAGTGAGGTTCTTCTGAGACAGTCTGGAGACATGCTTCTGTAGAATTCTTCTCAAGCAAACTGTAGGTACATGGAAGGATGCATATGTAAATGTATTTATAAGATATTCTTCAGACTTAAAGATTTACAGCTTTTATGTAGGTCAGTTTAAGGTTGCCCATTCTGCCATTCTTTTTTGTGTGTGTGTGCATTAAAAAATTTCCTTGGTTATTTTTAAATGTATTGTATTTTTTAATTCTTTTTTTTTTTTCTTTTAATAGGGTTGTTTATATTCAACCCAAATTAATAATTCACTAAGGTTTTGCAAAACCACATGGATAATCTTTCTTTTGGCTTGGCTTTAACACTGCCCTGCCTACAGCTGCACAACTGTTTGACAGCAGCAGGAGTCTCTGGGAACAAGTGGTTCTCTAAGAATCCTCCTGGAGTGACTGTTACATTCCTGAGTAAGCTTTACCAGCAAAGATCTCTTCTGCTGGCATCTTTCATTCACAATATAAGTTAATCTGGTGACAGAGCCCTTTCTGTTCATTTTTTCATCCTGCATATTATTCACTTACAACAATGCCAACAGATTCTGTGAAGCTAGCCAGAGATGTGTTTTTCTTGGAGACAGTTACTACTGAGTATTTTTATATATGCATGTTTGTAAGTAAATACTGTAACTTGTTAAAGCTAAGCATTAATGATTTAATATGCCCACTGAACTCTCCATTGACAAATGCATGAACAGTGAAACTGCAGAAAATATAAATACTCGCTCGTTTGTTGCATAAAATTCTGTTTTTCTGCCATTTTTTTCTTTTTAAATAGAAGGTCCTGCCTAATCTCATCCTTTCCCTAACCCAGAGCAAATGTATTGGTTTAAAATGCAGAAGATAATTACTTAGTCAAGCTTGAAATTATTTTTCATAAATCTCAGATCTTAAAGAATAAGACACCATGAATTAATTATTACTTCTTACTGTTTTTCTAATAAGGATACCAACGTGCCTTCTGTTGATTTCTGAAAATACTGTGTTTAAAGAAGACAGCAGAGGGCACTGTTATCAGGCTTGGCTGTTCTGCAGTGTTGGAAGAACTCAAATGTAGACTGCAGGCTTTTGTGTAGCATGCACTCTTGTAGTCCTTTGAATTTGAAACGTTTGAAACATACACATTTTCAGATTCCCTAAAAGGTCCAAGCTTGAAATAAAGAAACATGAGGGAGATTAAACTTCAGTGAATTTTTATCCACGTAGCAATAGAAATCTCTACTGAGATGCTACAGGAATCCTCTTTATACCTTTAGAAGATTTTTTTTTTTTTTTTTTTTTTTTTTTTGTGTGTGTGTGTGAATTGGCCAGGGAATGTGGGTGGCTGTTTTTCTATTTTTTTTTTCCCTGCTTGTTTCTGAAGTAAATGCCATGTTTTATTGTCTAAAATGAAAATCTGCGGCTCCTAGCTGTCCAGCTGCAAAAGACAAAGCAATATGTGGCACATCTACTTTATTGGCATTACTTTTTTGCTACTTAGAAGTTATAAGAAGCTATAAAGAAAGGAGCTGAAGTTCTGATGCCATCTAACTTTGATAGTTAATGTTTTATGATCACTAGTATTTTCTTGTCTGTTTTGACTCTGTGTCCTTTAAGTGCATGAGAAAGTCACTCCATTCTGCTCTCAGAGGATATCAGCCAGCTGAAGCTGTGGTTCTGCAGGCAAATAAGCTCATCTGTCATCTTCCGTGTAGTTGTACAGTAATTCCTTTTGGAAAATGCTTGGTTTCCTCCTTAGTTTCTGTTTGAAAATAATGTAGTGAGGCGGTTTATGGCTCTCTGCTGTAACATAGCTTCACAGTGATTTGTTGTCTTTCTTTTTGCTCTTTCTAGTTAAGGTGGTGCTTCAGAAAGTGTAGGTGAGTCCAAGCCTGTATTTCATGGTTTGAACTTTGTTTTTTGGTTCTGTTTAACAGCAGTCATTTCTATTTCCATGGGGTGATTCTGAAGAATGGAGGATTCCAACATAGTGAGAAGTCTTGTGTTATCTTAAAATTCTCTACCCATCCAGACTTATCTTAAAATTATGAATATGATGTGCTAGAGGCAGTTTTTACAACCTGAAGCACAGAACATTTTTCAGATGTCATACTGAAGTTTTACTTAGTTACCTTTTTTACATTGTGAAGCTGTAGACACTGCTGCGTTACCAGCAGAATAACTTCTGGGTACTGCAGAATAACTGTTTTATTTGTTCTAATTGCTTTATTTATCAGCTTTTCATTAGTATCCAATAATGCTGTGTTCATTCTTGCTTCTCTGTGTTCAATTCTTTCTGCAAAGTTCATAGCATTAAATTAAAAAAGTTATATTGCACTTCAATGAACCATGTGGATGTACTAAGTGTGATTTCAGGTTTTTTTTTTTTTTTTTAGTTCATACTTGTGCTGCAGTAGCTAGCTTTTTCAGCACCCTGTTTTGGCTGTTGTTTACCGTTTTATATTGTTTCCTTATGTTTAAACAGAATCTCTAACCCATTACTGTTGACAGGTACTGTAGGAGCAATATGCTAAAAGATTTCAAATTGAATGTATTAGAAAACTTTCCCTGTTTTCAGAAACCTGTGACAAATTTTTACATCTGACTCATGCAAAAATCATGAATAGTGCATCTAGCTTTTAAATAAACATTCTTGAAATGTATTTACCTAGCTCTTCAACTCTTCAAGGATAGCTTTGTAGCCCTATGGTGGCCTAAGCTTCAGTTTTGTAGTTTATTAATACTCATTGTCACTTGATGTGTTGTGCCTTGAAAATGTAATAAGGTGATTTTTTTATTTTTTTATTTTTTTTTTTTTTTGTGTGTGTGTGTGTGTGTGTGTTTAGAGTGCTTGTAAGATTTGTTTGTAAAATATTGCATTGTGTGTTTGGAATTTTTTCACTTGACCTTGAGGATTGATTTGTGAATTTAAGTTATTTCAGCACTGTAAGGCATGTTGTGGCCACCAGAATTGGTGAAACACAGCATTGTCTATGAAAATAACATTAAGTCATCATTTACAATTAAGACCTGCTTAACAAACTTACTTGGCCACGTAGGCACTCGTAAGTGCCTATGAACTATTGAGTTATTTCTTTCTTTCCCTGAGGTTTGACTACATGACATATGTTCTCTATGTTGGTATTCCCTTGATTTGGAAATACTTATGCTTTATAACCTGTACTGACTAAAAGACTGCTCAGCTGCTATACCTGTCTTGCATAAACTAAACTATGACTATTATGAGGGGGGCAATGAAACAAATGATAGATCAGTTTTAAGAGAGCCCTGTCAACTTGTCTTCTCCATGTTCCCCTGGATATGTTTGATATTCCTTGGTCTGCCTTTTGTTTCCTTTCTTATCTGACTGGGATGAGGAAGGTGATGTACTTAACACTTTGGCTACTTGATAACTTCTAATAGTACATTTGCTTTCTTACGGCTATGAACATAGGGGTGGAACTTTTATACCTTAAAAAAAAAAAAAAAAAGTTATAAAATTGAATGAAATGACCCATCTGTGTCAGCCTTCAGATTCCTGTTCTGTTCTGCCTCTTTCCATCTTGATTTGTGGTTGAGATGTGTCTGCAACAGGGAATTACTAAGTTACACCATACCAATTGGCCTATGCAGTACTTGAGGTTATAAATGTTGTGCAACAGTGGCGATATCCTGGGCTTCATTAATTTATTAGTGGTGTATTTTTTTCAGTCTGTCTTTATTCCATTAAAATTTTCATTTGTTTTGAATAAGTGAGAAGAATGGCTGCTTCTGTTCAAATCTGAATTGTGGATAACTGAATAGCCCTTTGAAAAAATGCTTTTTGACTGATGTTACTTTACATTTCCTTTATAAAAGCTCATCTTTAAGTGCGGGCTTTTAATGTTCACTCTGTAGAGCCTGAATATTTATCTTGAATGAAATCTTGTCATTGGATTTGATTTACTGAAGTTGGGAACTGAATCACTTGGGTAGGTACCAGGTATACTTAGCAGGTTTTTTTTTTCCATTTTGAACTGGAACCTGGATGGGAATTCTGCTTGTTTTTCCTCTTTGGGTTTTCTAATGGGACTTCACTACAAGGATAACGGATGTCTTGCCAGGAGTGATGCATTTTGCCTGGAGACATGTGCTGGCTAAATAGTCAGGCCCGCAGGATGATAGTCCTCAGCACAAAGTCTAGTTGGGAGTCAGTAGTGGAGCAACACAGTGATCAGTATGGGTTCCAGTCTTATTTAATATCTTTAAAAATGATCTAGTGTTTCTTTAGAAGCTTGCTAATGGCAGAAAACTAGGGTGGAGTGACAGATCTTTCTCTGATCGTTTTGCTGCCATCCAGAAGAACCTCAACACGTGACATTTAGACTCAAGACATGTGAAGCTCTGCACGTGATTCCAGGCATCAGTACTTACTGGATGCCACCAAGCAGTTTTGCAGAAAATAATCTGAGGGTCCTTGTGGGCACCAAGCTGAACATAAGGCAGCAATATGCCTTTCTTGCTAAGAAGGCTAATGGTGTCCTAGGTTGCATTGATCAAAGCACTGCCAGCAGGTGGAGGGAAGTGACCCTTTCCCTCTTCTCTGCTCTAATGAGGCCACACATGGACTGCTGTGTTTGGTAGCCGTGTTTCCTGCTTTTCAGGAAGCAGAGAAATAATAATAGTAAACAAAAATGAAGGGAAGATATTTAATCACTTATTTCATGTATTACACGTTAACCTTGACTTCTGGGGCAGGCAGTGATGGAGGCACTTGCTGCACATGACTGACATTAAACATGAAGTGTATTCCTTGCATCTTGCATAACTCCTTTAGGTAGCCATCGGATCTGTATACTCAAAAATTTTTTTAGCTGCTGTTTCTGCTTTGGATCATGGCATCAAAGCTCTGAATTGTGACTTAAATTCTCTGTGATGTGCTGGGTAGTTAGCTGGTGGTGTATGTCTGAGTTGCTTTATAGGTGAGGAGGTGGCAACTAAAGACACAGAGGGAAGTAGGGAGAGAAGAAAAAATCTTTGCAGTGTGTTTGATTTGGTTTTATTTGTGGAAGTATAATGTTATGTATGTTAATATTTTCAGGTGACATTGAAAATGGATATTTGAAGCTCACAGTTGTAAGCTTAAAGGATAACGCAAAGCACATACCTCTTATTGGGACAGTTGGCTTATCCTGGGAAACAACTGCCTTTAAAGGCATTGTAAAGGTCAGTCAAAAATACTTCTCATTTCTGGAAACGTTCATGTCTAAATAGGATTATGTATATATGTTCTAAATAAGATATTAAAAAATTTTTGGTTTAGAGAATAGAATGCATGATAGACCCATTATGCATGTTTGCTGATGATTGCAATGCTTTTGACACAACAAACATGCTGTGTCTGACTAGCAGTGCTTGGAAGCATTGGACCAACAAGGCACTGCAGATGTGCCTTTCTTTCTCCTTGCAAGCAATAAATCTTGAACCTTGGGGAAATACTGTTATGTTGCAGCATGTATGTGCAATGAATGTTAGAAACTTTTGAAGAATACTGAAAGACCAGTGCACACCGTCAGAAAATACAGCCTGCGTTCAGTCAGAATTTAGCTCTTGAGTCATGCAGAGGGGATCAGCTGGATTAAAAAACTGTATTATAAAGGACTTCTCTTTTGTTTTCCTGTATAAAATTCCTAAAAGAATGGTTTTGAAGAAAGATCAAATGCAGTTGTGTAGACTTTGCAGTAGTGGAGGCGCATGTTTCTAAATGTACTTCAGCTGCTTTGAAATTTCGGAAGTACCAAAATTCCTGCGAGTCCTACTATAAAATAATTTTGTTCAACATTTTATTTCAGTTTCGACATTTACTTTGGAAAGAGTAAAGCAATTAATAAAACTGCTCTTCTCCTAATCCTGCATAAAGGTGGAATGAGGCACTGTTTGATAGCATAGCGGTTTGTGCATAGGCATTAACATAAACCACTGTTTATGTCAAGCAGCTTTCCTGTGCAATGAAGAGTACAAACTTTATCTTAAAATGTAGTAACCAATGTGTATCTGTTGAGAAGATTAACTAGAATTGAGCTTGAATTAGAGTTTCCATCCAGTCTTTTCTTTCTATTTATTTGTAGCAGTTTTTTCCCTTGTTTACATGGTGACTGTGATGTTCAGTCGCATATTTTTCCCTCAGTTTGTACCAAACTATTTTGAATTAGGTGTTTTCAAAAGAACTACAAATCCTTCTCCTCTTGCTGTTGGTAAGAATACTGTATGTTATAGTAGAAGGAATTCTAGCTAAGGAAATATTTCTTAAGACAATTTTGTCCTTTGTATTTGCAACATATGTTATTCTGAATATTTGCTTTTAGGAAAAAAATAAATATCAGTCTTTTTTTAAATGCCTCATTTTATGCTGAGAGCTTGCTCATGTTGACACATAGCTGTGGGTAGAATTCAATTTAGCTTTTAACATAAATCTCTAAAATTCTTAAAACAAGTGAAGGCCAAATAAAATCAGTGACAAGAGCAGAGTATGACGCTATTTTGAATTTATTTGAAGTTCATCTGATATTCTAAGAAAGAAAGAAAGCTTTCTTTGGCATTGCTGGATATTTGTTCTGAAAACAAGTTATTGAATTACGTGAACACATGGAGAAAGAAGAGCTACCAATGGTCAGGGTCACCCTGCTTTACTTTTCACATTTGGCCTTTGAAATGTAAAGTGTCAGGTTAGAAAATAGTAATTCTTAGAATTGCAGAACCATTCAGTTGCAAAAAACCTTTGAGATTATCAAGTGCAAGGATCAACCTGACCTACCATTCCCTTCTCTAAGCCATGTCCTCAGAATATACTGCATCTTCTGAGCCTTCTCCTTTATCTCAGTAGCAATTGTAAACACAGAGCCACTGTGTAAAATATCCACCAGATTTTATAAAGGTAAGAGCAGAAGCTCGGTCCACTAACAGTGACTTGAACGCTGCTGATACCATCTCAGTAGGGAGTGGGTCTCTTACAGTACATATTTTTCCCTAGGATTCACTTGAGACTACTGTGTGTCAAGTGGTTATTATACCTAATATAAGTTATTAAATGATCATCAAATTTAGTTTGAATTGTATATTCTCAGTGTAGTCTGTATTAACAAGCTTAAGGAAGCTCTGTATCTCATTTAAGGTTTTGCCATCTGCTCTGTGTTGTTCGTTTGAAGTACAATAACACTGAAGAAATTGTTAAAGCAACAGAAACACAGCTATATAGTACTGAGAAATAAAGCATTCCAAATAATTTCTTGACATGGAATGTGCGACGTTGTGTTGGTTATGCTTTTGGAACAAATGATGCTTCTGGAAATAATGCATATTTACAACGTAATTAAGACAGGCTGATTCACTTAATGATTCAGAATTGCTGAGAATAGGTAACAACTGATGGTAACAATAATAAGCAAGCTGTGTGCTTTTCAGGCACATAAATAAAACCTTCACTTTTCAAGTGCCCCAGAATTGGCATCCTGATTTTAGCCTTAGAAAGTGATGCAACTGTGTAATGTTCTAAGGAAATATTTTTCAAGAAATTTTTAACAGGAAGAATTATTTGGAGGGCAGAACAATGTATTAATATAATACCTTTTTGGGAATTGATGCTTGCAGCCATGGAGAAAGTCGCCTTTCCATTATAGCTGGCAAATAGAGTAATTGTCTGTGTTGGCTGCCTGAAGGGTGATTTCGTCGTGTGTTTTTGCAAGGATTGCTGCATTCATGGAAGTTGAGACTTTAGTTTGAACTCAAGTTTATTTCTCACATTGAAAGGATTATCTCTTTTTTTGAACCTCAGACTTTAAAGGCTTAGAAAGTCTTCAAGAAACAACATCTGCTTTAGGGTGGCAGTGCTACCTTCTGTTTTGCAATTTTTTGATGCTTCGAGTTTTTTTGATGCTTGTATGATGCAAATTTGATTTCTGTAAGAAATCTCTAAGTAAGTACCTTGGTTTGTGGTAATCAATGAAAGATTATCAGTTATATTTTTGAATTTTTTTCCTTCATTCCAAAACTTGCTGTCTACTGAAACCTTTGTATTTCTCCCTAAAATCAGGGATAGAACTGTTTACTGTGCCTTGGTGTAGGAAAGTAATCTCTTCTGCTTTTGTTTGTAGGACTGTTACATGATGGATGTTACTGTCTTGGATGAAACTCAAAAACCCTTCTGGTGTTTCAGTGCCCCAGTTTGCATGGAACTCTCCTCCAAAGTGTCCAACCTTTATGATTATATGGGTCATATCTATACCGTAGTCTATGCAGATTCAGAAGGTAAAGTCTGTGCTGAGTTGGTGTGGCTGGAAGAAACCAAAGAGTATTTCATAGTCAGTCTTGTTCTTTACCTAAGCACTGAAAAGGTTAATAATTGGTATGGAACAAAGTACTGATATAATTATATTGTTGCTTCCCTTGCTTTAAAATAATAATAATAAAGTGAACCCTGTGTATTTCATGTTTAAAATTTAATGTGAATGGGTAATACTATTTGCAAGTTTTGCACTTTTGACTTTTCATTTACAAGTAAAATTGCGTACATCTGTTAATTGACATTGGATAAACTTGAAGAGGGACATTGATAAAAAAAAAATTGTTTTTTTTTTTTTTCCTGTTAAACATCACATTGTTAGCCTGTTGCTGGTACTGTACGCATTGAAAATATTTTTAGGAATAATTTTTTTTTATAGACACCTTTGAGTATAGTTAATAAATTACTTCTTGTGAGAGCCATACTGTGAAGAAGCTCTGCCTTATTTAAGATGCACGGGATTTGAGAGCATTCACTGTTAACTTCCGTGGTGGTTTCACACTGATAGGCAGTTAAGCTCCACCATGCCACTCTCTCACTCCCTCTTTTCTCCACCGTTCTGTTGAAGAAACTCATGGGTTAAGGACAGAGAAATCACTCACCAGTTACTATTGTGGGCAGAAAGGACTCTGAATAGGGAGATGAGGGTAATTTATTGTCCTAGCAGTCTAAAGCAGTGAGAGCTAAAAGCAAACTAAAAACACCTTCCCCCTCCACACCAGCTCCTTCTACCTCTACCCCTCATGCTACACAGGACAATAGAGAAGAGGGGCTGTGGTCAGTCTGTAGTGCTTTCTCTGCCAGTCTTCTGTGGTTACTCTCTATGCCTGCTCCAAGTGTGGTCCATCCCACGGGATGCTATGCTTCCTGAACTGATGCTGCATGGGCCTCCCCCACGCTGCAGCTCTCCAAGCACTGTTTCAGATGGGTCTCTGTTGGCAGCAGTTTCCCAGTCCTCCTGTCCCATTGTGGGCTCTTCTCCATGGGCTGCAGCTCTGGCCTGGTGCTGTTCCAATGGAGGCTCTCCATGGGCTTTACTTTCTTTAGGCCTTGTTCACTGCTACACTGTGGGCTCCTCCATGGGCTTACCTGTGGAGATCTACTTTGTGTAGTAGTACCCGTGGGCTGCAGGAGGACAGCCTGCTCCACTGTGGGCCTCTCCTGAATGGCAGGGAGCTTCGGCTGTGCTCCTGGAACCACAGGACCATGGAATATCCTAAGTTGGAAGGGACCCACAAAAGGATCATTGAGTCCAATTCCTGGCTCCGCACAGCACCAGCCAAAATTCAAACCCTATGCCTGAGGGCAATGTCCAGACTGAGCCCCAGCATGCTTGGTGCTGTGTCCACTGCTTTGGGCAGCCCATTCCATGCCCGCCGCCCTGTGCTGCAGAGCCTTTCCCTGACCCCCAGCTGCCCTCCCCTGACGCAGCTCCATGCCGTTCCCTCAGCCCTGTCGCTATCACACAGAGCAGAGCTCAGTGCTGCCCTTCTGCTCCCTGTGAGGAGCTGCAGCTGCCATCAGGCCTCACCTCAGCTCTTCTGCTCTGCACTGAACCAACACAGGAATATCAGCTTTTCCTCATACATCTTGTCCTCCAGACCCTTCACCATCTTCATAACCCTTCTCTGGATGCTCTCTGTGACTCCATGATTTTTGGTACTAGTGAAGGGTTTCAACCAACATTTATATTACAACCCGGCATGAAGAATCCTGTTCTTTTTTTTTGTTTAATTAATTTTGGGTTTGCTTTTGTGACCTTCTGCTCTCTGAACTGAGATTAGTACAAAATACTAAATTTTGAACTGGATGTCCCAGAGGTGGACTAAGTCAAAAGGGATTAACCGCCTGTTTTACTATGAAAAAGGAATACTAGCAGTTTTACCTCTGATAGTATGTAAAGAATGAATTCTGGTAAATCATTAATGCTCTATTTTTCACTTGCTCTATTCTGATATGAACTAGAATTGCTTTCCTATGTTTTTTTCTATCTCAACAAAGTTGAAAAGAAAGATGGTAAGTAAAACTTATGCAAGAACACATAAAATTGCAAAAGCAAAAAAGAGCTTTGTTGCACAGCACCTCCTCCACTCCTTCTGCACTGACCTTGGTGGTTGCAGGGATGTCTCTCTTGCATTTTCTCTCACTCCCTCTCTCCTCTTGGCTGGTCTTGCTCAGCAGTTTTCCCTTCCTTTCATCTGCTCTCCCAGAGCGCACCCAGCATTACCCAGCTCAGTTCTGGCAGTGATGGGGCCCTCTTGGAGCAGGCTGGGGCTGGCTTTGATCTGTCATCGGGCCACAGCTGGGTTCTGATCACAGAGCCAGCTCTGCTACCAAAACCTTGACACCTATGCGTAATATAGCCTACTACTAGTAAAATAACATGTGTGCTGTTTTCTTCCTGTTCATTGGAACATTACTGGTAAGTAACAAGTTTTGGTAGATTTTGTTAAATGCAAAAATGGTTTTCAGAAAATAGTGTATGTAAATGTAACAAAAGATGGCAGAAAGATTGCATGTCCCACTCAAATGCAACATTTTTATCCCATAAAAGAATTATTCAAACAGGAGAAGTGGTGGGCATCAGTTGAAATTGGATCATCCAAATATGCAGCTGCTGGTCACACTGTATGAAACGTGACATTTTTGTCTAATGCTTCAGGATTTGTTGCAGCTGCTTTTAATGATTTTGTTGATTTATAGTGAGGACAGGATTTTGCTGTTTTAGCGTCATTTATCCAAATTTGAAGACCATTTTTGTGAAAGTATAAGTACTCATAAGTGTGGGAAAAAAAAGTTGGAAGATTTTGTTTGTATGTGCTACAGAGAACAACCCCTTCACATAAAAAAAAAAAAAAAAGGCAACCACTATCAACTTCTTAATGTGTGTGTTTAACTGTGTTTAACTACTCCGCAACAGACAAAACTATAATATCTTTAAGAGGGTGATTTACCTGGTAGGGAAGCATAAAAACAGTGCTTGTGTTTATTTTATTGCACATGTAATAGTGCTCGTTTAAGTTAATGAGCTTAAATTGCATTGGAAAGGAATCAGTATGAAAGAGTGATTTAATGAAAGGGTTTTTATGAGATTACTTCAAGAGTGGAGGAGTTTTCTCCCTAACAGAACTACATCACAATGTCATTCCTACTGTTTGTCATTGCTTTTGTCAGATATCTGCTGCATTCAGAAATGCTTCTATGGTCTTGATTTTTTTTTATTTTTGAAAGAATTACTTGTAATAGAAAGTGTTTTTAGTGAGCAATTCATTAATACTCCTGGGCACTTTATATGATTTTCCATTAATATAAACTGCAACTATACTGTTTTATATCACCTGAAGAATTGTCCTTAATTATAACACTGCCATTCTGGAGTTGTTGCCCTTTACTGCGGTCATTTTCCTCTAGCGGGGAACTAATAGCAACTGTACGTTTCCCAGGTATTTATGGAGAAGGGGAGTTATTACAGTATTTTTCTTCAAACTGGCCTTACAGTTGTTTTGCTTTTTCTTCCCATCTTTTTGCAATCGTTATTAGAAAAAAACAGCTCTGCTTTCATAGTACATGCCTATTCCTCATTTGTTTTTTTAGCACATAAAACAACTGTATGGTGGATAGTCTCTAGATACGTATTTTTTCCTGCCTGGTCTCTCTCTATTTAGCAGAAAGGTTTTGATTTGCATTCATATAATCATAGAACGGTTTGGGCAGGAAGAGACCCCAAAGCCCACCCAGCCCCACCCCGTGCTGTGTGCAGGGCTGCCTCCCACCAGCTCAGCTGCCCAGGGCCCCATCCAATCTGGCCTTGAGCACCTCCAGGGATGGGGTACCACAGCTTCTGTGGGCAGCTGTGCCAGCGCCTCGCTGCCCTCATAATGAAGAATTTCATCCTTGTATCTAATCTAAATCTACTCTTTTTTAGTTTAAAATCATTGTACTTTATCCTGTCACTATATTCCTTGATGGAATGTTCCTCTCCAGCTTTCCTGTAGACTCCTTTTTAGTACTGAAAGGCTGCAATGAGGTCTCCTCCAGAGCCTTCACTTCTCCAGACTGAAAAACCCCAACTCTCAGCTTGTCTTCATAGAGATGTGCTCCAGCCCCCTGATCACCACTCTGGCCTTCCTCTGGACCCATTCCAACAGGTCCACATCCTCCTTTGTGCTGGAGGCCACAGAGCTGAACACCATGCTCCAGATGGAGTCTCATGAGAATTCATCCATTAGCTGTTTATGGTATGGTCTTGATTTCATTGAAACTCATTCTCATTGAAACTCAAACACTCAACTTCATTGAGACAATGGCTATTTCTTTGTATTCTATTACATGCCTGTCAGATGCTAGTGATTGAATAATTAACACATACACAAAAATAATATTAAGAGAGGAGAAAAAGTAGAGTGGAGCTCAGCATGAGCTAAATTGGGTGAATATTGGCTCAGATTAGGGATTTATAGAAGTAATCAAATTACCATATCTTAGTGAGTTACAATCAAGCAAGTTATGCAGTAATTCACCTTGTATGAGCGTAGCGGGTAGTTCAGCACATACAAACAGGTGGAGTGAGATTTAGGTGAAAAATATTTGATCTTCTGCCTGTCTGACATGTTAGTACTGCTCAGCTAATATGTAATGACACTCAGAGATGTGGAAACTGAATCTGAGCTCAAATATGCCTGTATTAGAAACTGCACAGATAAATGTTTCTACAAATTATAATGAGAACAGCATGTTTTAATCTCTTCCTCTATGTGGTGGATTGGAAAGACATTACTATGAAAAGTTAAATTCCATTGTCTCCTGCCTTTTTCATCCACCATGAATCAAAATGGGGTGTGATGGCAACAAGAATAACTAGTGAGTTGTATGTGGAGAGGATAGGTTTATGATACTGTCAGTGCATCAGTTGGTCAGTTTTAACTGTCAAATTTTGCTTAAATATATAGGATTTGCATGCTGTGTCTCTTTTGAATGTCTGTGAAAAAGGAGCAGCGTCACTCTGTATTAATGCTACTTAAGTTGTAGAAATTTTATAACCTAGAAAATTGAAAGGCTTTAAAATACTCTGAAGAAAACAGAAATGGGAAAGTTACTCTTTCTAGGCTCAAGTTGTTTTTTAATGCTTAGGAGCATGTTCTCTGTATCAGTCCTCTGAACCTTTTGAAGGTCTTATGAGTCAGATACTGATCACACGTATTAGTGGGAGAGATTGCTTTTTTCTACATACAAGCACTTACAATACAAGTTATTAATTTTTCCTATCCTGTGTTAGTCATGCACAAAGATAGATTCAGCTGTCTTGGTCAGATCTTACAAAACAAAACAAATAAACAAGATGGGGAAGAATGTTCTGTAGGTGTGTAGTGTTCTTTTTAGTCGCTGCAATACGGTAAGTTAGTTAAGTCCTCAGAAATT